TGTGGTCCCCTTCCCATTCTGTTGATTCGGATAAGCTCTGGGGCACATTCATTTTGCATTTGATTCAAGCAGTGGTCTAGGGGTGGAGTCCCTGCTAGGACTCTGTTGTGTGCGAGGGCACAGTGTGGATGTGGCGCAGCGTTGAATAGAACACCCAGGTTCTCGCATCCGTCGTTGAGCTCAGAGAGACGTCTGTGGAAGGGAGACCCAGGCCAGGAAAATGAGTGTCTTGTCAGAACTGTTTCTCTTTAGACCTGACTCAAATGAAAAATGGTTCCAGCTCAGATACCCAGAGCTCACACAGCTCGCCCTCTGGGCTTCTGAGGGTACAGTGATGATAGTTCTGAGCACCTCAGGCACTGTCTGTGGCTCCGGGGGGGCCCATTCCTCTCTAGTTGTGTGCATGGCAAGAGATTCAGGTTCTCTGCCCAAAGGAAGTGTGAGGCTGTGAATTAGAAGTGCGCCCTGAGATTTGAAGGAGTGTGTGGTTCATGATACTACCTAATGAGGAAAAGGAAAAAACAAAATTGAACACGAGAACTGAAAAATAGGGTTAAGTTTCTCTGAATATATAAGGTCAAAATGCTTCAGGAAGTCTGTGGCATATCACTGTATTTGCCAAACACTGTCTTGTAAACAGCGGAACTACGTACATCCCTTGGAGAAAAAAAAAAAGTATGGCCAACCTGTTCTGTAATTCCCCTTGGATTCTGTAATGCTATGAAGTAAGAAAACACATAATTTCTACCCACAGTCATTGCAAATAAAAGTCATTTTTGTCCTCAAAGTTAACTGTTTGGTAATAAGTCTACATTCATGGTTTCCCTTTTAAATTCCACTTACAGAGTTTTGTCAGCTCTCAGGTATTTCACAATTTCTAGGTCTCCTCAGAGCTGTGGGGTTGAGGCACGCCTGTCTCTGCTGGTGCGCGTGTAGTTTTGTCTGGGTTACCAGTCAAAACAGAGGAGACTCACCTTTGAAGAACAGTCACCACTTGATGATTGCTGTGTGACAACCTCCCCAAGTCCCTTGGCCTCTTCAGACCGTTAAGAAATGGTCAATGTGAGGGTCTTGTGATTCTCACAGTTAACAATCAGAATATTTGACTTTCCTTTTGCATCTGGACAGCTCATAGCGTTCCGTTCTCTCATCACTTTGAACTCAGAAGATGCTGTTTTGTGTCCTCCATTTTACGTGTTACATGAATGTTCTTTATTCTTTTATAAGTTTCCTTTTTGCCTCATCTCTTTTCCTTTTCCACATTCCGTTGCACTAAGTTGTTTATTCTTTTTTTAATTCTTCTTTTTTTGCCTCATCTCTTGTTCTTGCTACAGTCCATGACACTAAATTATTTGTTTCATGATAAGGTGAAGGAAGAGATTGGCAGGCAGTTGCTTTGCTTAATAAGGGGACACTATCTTCCTTGGAGGTGGTTTATTGCTCTCTCTATGCATGCCAGGTGAATGCAGATGTCCTGTGTATGGACATGGGGTGTGAAAAGAAGAAACATTGTTGGCTGTGTTTACCATCCCTTGAGATGAATCTCTTTCCTTGCACTCTAGTCGGGATAAGTTTTGGTTAGCTCTAGTGAAACTTACGATGAGAACAAAGAATAGATTTAGCACGCTGATTATCTTCGAGGAAAGAGGATATGTGAATTTGCTTATGGGGAAGTGAGACCATGTATGGCTTCTGAATAGTGACTTTCAATAGCTTTACTCATTTTTCCTTTCTTCTCCACGATTGACAGAGTACTTCATTCTGTGGTTGTATTGAAGCATTAAGAGTGTTTGGTGGTTCCAAATTCCCATTGTAGACCATGGAGTAGTTGTACAGTATCCGACTTCTGTGGCTTTTTTTCCTTCCTAGTAATCTGCAATAACCATTGCTCATCTGTGTGATGGATGATAATCATGTAGAAGAAAAGAAAATAAAAAGGAAATAAAATTTCACCATCTCTGTCTTTATACAATAGTTTGCCTCTGCAGTTTTCAAATGCCTATAAAATTAGCTTTTTGTCCCATTGAACTTGGTTTCTTTGGGGACTTTTACAATCATGTATGGACCCCCAAATTCTCCCAGTCTGTGGCCTTTTCCCACATCTGCTGAACTTGACGTTTAGATCTCTAGTTTCTGCTTGACATTCGTGTGTGAGGATGTTATGTAGTGGGACTGGTCTTGTTAGCAAGTGATATTGTGTTTAATGGAAAGCCAAATGGAATACTTCTCAAATAGGAATTGTTGGTATTAAGACATAATGTAGATGTTGAGAGAATCTTTGGTGTTAGGGACAGGGAATCAGCAATGCCTCTGCTTGTCTTCTTTTCCCATTGCCTCTACCAAGAAACAATGACAAGTGTGAATAAAATAGCACTTTCGATTGGACTTACATCTCAAACTCTAACTAATAATGAAATAACTGTCCATTTGTTGAGTTGAAACCACAGGTAGTGTAAATAGCAGCATCCTAAGGAGGTCCTGATGGATGAAGGACTTTCCTCCTCCCCATCCCCACCCCAGCCCTAGAGCTGCCTCATTATTCACTGTACTCCAGCCTAGTGGAAAGAGCTGGAGGTTAAAAGGATGCAGGCGTATGCCTGACATCAGCTAATTCTTTCTGACTGCTTTATTGGTTGTTCAAAGAGGAGATTCCAGCCTGATGCTTTAGTGGGGGATGACTAGAACTAGAGTCCTTTTGTGAGAGCTGTGGCCTTCAATAGCCAAGGGGATAGGAGAGAGGACAGTGAAATCTGCACCACTTGCGTACCAGCAAGTGCTCTGGAACTTTCTTTAGGAAGGAGTGAGGACAAGATGGAAGGGTGTGGAGAGCTGATTCACCCCAGACTTAACCTGACTGAATTATCTTCTGCTTTCCCAATTGAAGTTTTGAAGAAGCCTTAACTGAAACATTACACTTAAGACATAGGCCTGTTTCATGTAGCCAGTCTTTCCTTGTGTGCTAGTAGGATACTGGGTCTTAAAAATAAAACTGAATGGACAGTCAGCAGAATGCCCTCATTGGACTTATCCAGAATCAAACAGTGAAGTCAGGGGAGTATCACTGGAACTATCCTAGTTAATTTTATTGTGAAAGAGTTGGTTTCCTTCAGAACAAACTATTGGGCTTTGCATTTTGTACTTTTATTTGCTTAGGAACTGAGTAATTGCCTCATAAAACAGCATGATGGTACTATTAACACTGAATTATAAGACCTGTTATTATAGAATGTGCTTCCCTAGTTGGGACAAGACGTCGTTGCTTGGTGCTTAAAATAATTAGTTCCTCCAAGAGGGGTTATAATGAATAGTGTAAAGTTTTACCCATTTAAAAAATAAAAAGTTTACAGTCTCTTGGGTGGCTTTTATGCATCATTTGATGCTTCCAGAGAAGGGCTTTCTTTTGGATGAGATTGGAGTAGGGGGTTTCTTTAATATTCAGAACAGGTTTGTTTAGGAATGAGGAGAAATAATTGATTTCTCACAGCTCTCTGAGATATTCATTAAAGAGTTTGACTCCTGTTTTACCTGATTTGGATATTGAGTATTATAGAATTCATTGACTGAATATTCTTGAATTTGAAATGTGGGCAGACTTTATTATGAATGATGGAAATTTTAACTGTGAACTACATATGGCAGTTTATTTCTGTGAGAAGTTAAAGATGTGTGTGTGTGTGTGTGTGTGTGTGTGTGTGTGTGTGTGTTTACCCTGCTTTGCTTATACTGCTGTTAAACTTTTTGCTCCATAAATTTTAGGCGTAAGTGAAGGCTGTGTAAATATTTCGTAAAGAACAAGTTATAATTCAAAGTAGGGATCTACTGTTATTTTCCTGCTGTTATATTGAAAAGCTAGATGTCTTGGCACCCATTATGTGAGCTTTCTGTTGTGTGAATGCTTGCCTTAAATTATTCTGTGGAAACAATGATATCTGCCCTTCTTCTGCACAGAGTGCCATTGGTACTGCCTGAGCTATGGGAAAGCCCCGGATATACATAGTGATAAAGATGCAAATATGCAACACGTTCAGTGCAGTGTAGGGAATTGATGGGAGTGAGAGACTTGGGACATGATTCATTACCACACCGATGGCAAAGTTAGAAAGGGCAATTGCAGCTTAGGCAGTTAACCGTTATTTACTTGCTTGAATTAACTGCTACTGAACAGTGTTGTGATCCTCATTAATGAGAAAAACTTTTTATAGATCATTCTCTTTGCTCATTTCCTAGGAGATAATGACACCTTTAGTTAGTTAGTTTGTTTGTTTTGGGCTGTCATCCTCTTAAAATGTTACCTCACCTTATTCTTAAAGATCTCTTGCTGTAGGTAGGGTAGTTCGTGTTTAAGAAACACACATGGTTGTGTTCACATGTCCATTTGGTCTCCTGGTTCAGCATAATTTCCTGACCCGTCTTTACCTCCCCTTAAGATCTGACCCACACAACACTCTGAGATTAGTGTCATTTGAGTTTCAGCTTGATCTCAATTTTTTGTTTGGTTTTGGTGGCATACCTGCAAGTATTCAGGGCTTACTTCTGGCTTTGTGCTCAGGGCTTACTCCTCGCAGTTTCAGAGGACCATGTGAGGTTCTGGGGATCGAGCCTGGGTTGACTGCAAGCAAAACAAATACCCTATTTGCTGTAGGGCATTAGTATTTTCTCCAGGCCCTGCAATGGTAGTTTTTATTTTTATTTTTTATTTTTAAATCTTTCTTATTATTATGGCCTTTTGGGGTCATACCCAGCGATGTTCAGGGGTTACTTTTGTCTCCGCACTCAGTAATCACTCTTGGTGATGCTGGGGAGACCATATTGGATGCCAGGGATCGAATCCAGGTTGGCTGTGTGCAAGGCAAATGCCCTCCCCACTGGACTATCACTCCTGCCCCAAGGGGGCGATTTTTTTTTTAACGTGTGTGTGTGTGTTGTGTGTGTGTTTGTGTGTCTGTTTCGTTCTTTCTTTTAGTTTATTAAATATTGTGATTTTTTTTTTCTGCAGGAAGCCAGTTGAGGGAAGTTCTCCATGAATGTACGTCACAATGATGATGACCGACCAAGTCCCTCTGGAGCTGCCCCCATTGTTAAACGGCGAGGTAGCCATGATGCCTCACATGGTGAATGGAGATGCAGCTCAGCAGGTGGGTATAGTGCGAGTGAGACTTTCTGCATGTTGTTTAGTTGGTATCATTCATTGAGCAGTAGTTTTTTTAGGTTTTTTTTTGGGGGGGTCTCACCCCGGCGATGCACAGGGGTCACTCCTGGCTCTGCACTCAGGAATTACTCCTGGTGGTGCTGAGGGGACCATATGGGATGCTGGGGATCGAACCTGGGTCGGCCATGTGGAAGGCAAACGCCTTACCCGCTGTGCTATTATTGCTCCAGCCCCTTGAGGAGTCGTTTTATTCTGATATTTAAGGATCCAAGTTTGAACATGATGAATTCCATGCTCCCCCAAACCCCAAGGAATATTAAATGAGTTTTTAAATCATCAGCAATTCTGTGGGTTTTTGGTTTGTTTGTTTTTGTATTTTGAGTACAGCAACTCTGAGCATATCCAGTTAGTATTCTTAAGGCATCGAAATGTCTGATTTTTGAAGCGAATCGTTTTGAAGATATGGACAAGTCTTTGGAATACAATGGCTGTTTACTCATGTTGTATATTATGCTTGACCGGTTTGCCCGGTTGGCCAAAGCCAGATGTGCAGAGGGTGGGTTTATTTTAATACCATATGGGGGTAGTGTTGTGGAGAGATGGGTTGTGGGTGCAAGGGTTGTGCGTGGAGATTGATGATGTGGGGAAGCAGGATTGGTGCTAGCGACCCTGCCCTTGCTCTAGGAGTGCTTTTTCCACACTGTTGCTCAGAAACCATGACACTTTCTGTAACTCTCCTTTGTCACTACTTCAGATTACAAACCACGTTATTTTTTGAAGTCACTCATGTAGCAGTTGGGAAAATTTTTAACTGTCAAATGAAGCTTTTAAAAATTATTTGAGCATCAAGGAATGTGACTCACGGGTCAAGCACATGCCTCACATGTTTAAGGCCCTAGTTTCTTTTTTTTTTTCTTTTTCCATCACCAATGTTTCCTAGCACAGCGGTAGGGCGTTCGCCTTACAAGCAGCCAACATGGCCGACCCGAGTTCGATTCCTCCGCCCCTCTCGGAGAGCCCGGCAAGCTACCGAGAGTATTCGATATGCCAGACACAGTAACAACAAAGTCTCCAATGGAGACGTTCCTGGGCCCGCTCGAGCAAATCAACGATCAACGGGAGGGCCTTTACCTTTACCTTTTAATGTTTCCAGTATTCCTCCTGCCACCCCCACACCTTGGTTTCAACACCACATACATTTACACAAATGTGCACATTACATATTTAGTTATACACACACATCAAAGATTTATTATCTCTGATAGCTTTAGGTTTCTTTTTTACTGAATATCAAAAGTTGGGTTTGCTTACACCTGTAAATTTTGAAGGCAAAATAAATACCCTTTTGTCTCCGTGCTATCTTAAAATTCCCCAAAATATTATTAAAACACTGGTCTACGAAGCTGTTTCAGGTATACTATATTCGAACATCAATCCTACTAACTAATGTGGCCTTCCTCTAGCAATGTCCCCAGTTTCCCTCCCACCACCAAACCTGCTATTTGATTAGGCGCATAACAAATTTTATTCATATTGCTTACTTCTACAAAACTTAAAGGAATGGCAAATGGTATTATCAGAAAATAGATCAATAAGTCAATTGATGATGATTAATTGCTGTATTATTTGAATCTAAATAAAGAAATTCAAATAATTTATTACAATATAATTCGATGCCTATTGGGCTGGAGCGATAGTGTAGTGGGTAGAGCGTTTGCCTTGCAAGCGGTTGACCAGGCTGACCCGTGTTCAATTCCTCCACCTGTCTCGGAGAGCCCGGCAAGCTACCGAGAGTATCTCGCCCGCGTGGCAAAGCCTGGCAAGCTACCCGTGACGTATTTGATATGCCAAACACAGTAACAACAAATCTCACAATGGAGACGTTACTGGGTCTGCTCGAGCAAATTGATGAACAACGGGAGGACAGTGCTGCCAGTGCCTATTGTCATGTACATAACTAAATTTTCAATTCTGGCATCTAAGATTTATTGGATTAAATCTTATTCTGTACTTGGGTCTTACTGTTTTCTTACTAACCAAAGCACAGATACCAGTTTTATGAAAAGTAGAGTTGGAAACCGTTGCTCAGGAAAGATTTACTCAGGCTATATTAATAATTGAACTAAGTTAATCATGTGATGTTAGCATGCATCCCCTATACCCTCCCTGAATTTAGCTTTGTATGATGATCCTCTATCCATCACAAGTACATTCATACTTTCTACAGATATCTATAGGGTCTTATTTTGCTGCTTAATAATTATCACTACTTTCCCTCTTCCATTAGATTGAGCCTCTTAAGAACAAAGAACATCCAGCGGGTGCTCGATAGTTTGAATGAATTTCTATCTTTTTCTTACCGGTTGTAGATGTCTTCCTTCTTGACTTCTTCCATTCCTCTGCTGGCTTCTTTCCTCTAGAGCAATAGTGTCATTGGTCTTAATCACATAGAGGGTCATACCTTCTGCCCACCTGATGAAACGGAAGCTCTTCACTGACTTTGACACCCCCCTCTAGTTACTTCTTCTCATTCCTACACCCTTGACTGCAGCACATCTGTAAAGTAGAGCCCCTGCATCCTCGTCTCCATTCCTCTTGACCCCCAGGTTTCTTCCCTAGCATCTCTCACCGCCTTCTCCAGTGTGTCGGCAGCTTCTGTCAGCTTTATCACAGGAGCAGCTGCTGAAGCCGGGTGTGGCCTGATCGATTCCATTTCTGCTCCCACTGCTGGATTCCAAGTCACAGTGGTTCACCAGAGTCGGACAGTCCTCACTAGACTCCGATTTTAATTTTGCCCCCCACAAAAGCACTTGATACGCAGCAGTCCTGCTGGGTGACCTGTTCGGAGCAGAAACTGCATTACAGCACTGCCAACTTAAAATCATGTTTTACCTGGAATGCCTCTACAGGGCATGCCTTGGCCCTGTGTGCTGAGTTCACTCTGACTTCTTGCTGCTGCATTCCTTTCACGAACATGTCTCTAAGTTCCATGACTTCAAGGTGCAGTGTTCAGTGTTTTCCATCTTTTTTACAAGTTAGAAGAATGAGAAAGAGCTCAGTTTTCAGCGATAACTAGAACTTGGAAAGAGACACCGTTCTCCTGATGTAGTCATCCAATTCTCACTTGTGCATGTAGGTCATATGGAAACTCCTGTCCATACTCTTTTTGCATGCTGTCTTTTTTTTTGTATCTGGATGATGACTCTCATTTCCATAATTCATTTTTCACAGAGCAGCCTTCTGTTATTGGTGACCCGGTCTGTGCCACCCTTAGTCATAGAAATTTTTCAGTTTGTCCGTCAGAAGTAGACTTTCTTTTTTTTTGCATTTGATGTGACTTGTCTGAAAAGACAGTGGACAAACATAAGGTCTTGTGGCATTTCCTGTTTTTTATGTACCTCAAGTCTAAGTAGAAGCTGCCTGATGATTTTGGTTTATCTGTTTCATTTTAATTTCATCTGAGAATGTTTTCGTCTAAAAAGGGAAACCTATTTCACTTTTCATAAACACTCAAATATCAAGGTTCTTCAGGATGCAGTACTTTTATTCTAAAAGCAGAAAGTCTCATGGGAAGAAAATGTTGCAGTCTTTCTAGTAAGTCAGTCTGGTTTGACATAGAAACATGAATGTATGTGTGTGTGCCAAGCAATTGATTGACATTAACCCTGGATTGCTTTTTATGGCGCACAGCTATTAACTGGGCAGAGTGTGTGTGCAACAGCCCTTTTAACAAGACCAAGCACAGTGTAGCCTGTGATTTGATGCTGCTTCTTCTCCACTGAGGCTAAACCCAGGTGTTAGTGCCTGAAATTTTTCATCGTCTTTTTGCACCAACCCTATCTTTTATTTCATTCCTTAGGTCCTCTCCTCTTTACTTTGAATCCAAACACTTCACATTGGCCTAGTTCACTGTGACAGAGTCCACAGGGCCCCTTTGTGGAATGGGAGTTGGGGTTCGAGGGATAGTTCAACCAAGGAGCTAGCAAAACCTAAAATGTTGGAGAAATAGCAGAGACGAAGGACGGTGGGACAGCAAGTCACCAAAAAGAACAAGGACCAATGGGAGGGCACAGGCAGTTTGGAACATCCATGATTGCCTGAGTGTCGAACACTTGCTGGGCCCCGTTTGGTATTTGTTGTTCACTGTTGCTTCTTCCTGATGTGCCCTGGATCTGTGCGCTAGACTCAGGACACAGAAGACATCCCTGAGAAGGCAGTGCATGCTGACATTTTTGGAAGATCTTCCTATACTGCCGGGGGATTGTTTTATGGAAGGTGGCATTTCACCCACCTCTCAACTCCTCTTTTGTCAAGAGCACTGGCTGTGAGATTCTGCTGCGTTCCTGCGAGTGAGTGCAAAGTGAACCTTACCCAGTGTGTATTTACAGGGTTCTGAATACTTTGCAGCTGTACTGAGGACATTCTCAGCATTTCTCTATATGCAAAAGAACCACCACAGTAATGAGAAAACCCCTTAGTTCCCACCCCCCTCCACCTCCCGATTTCTGCCCTGGTGATTTCTGGATTTAATTAGGTCGAGTTCTTGGCAAGATTAGCTGCTCTGTTCTGGCTCTCTGAGTAAGACACACTGTTAATTTTCATTATCTAAAGTCACGTTAAGCTTGAGACGTTGGTTTGTCATGTTAGATAGGTAGTAGGAAGAGGATGATTCTTTTCTTACCGATGAAAAGACATGCTGTGGAGATAGTACAGGGCTTAGGAGTCATGGCAGGCACTCAACCCTGCTTCAACCCCTAGTGCCACATAGCCCCCCCAGCCCAGCACAACCTGGGTATGGACCTGGAGACCCCAGCCACCCTTGGTGGCCCCTGGTGGTCTCCCCCCACACTGGGTCTGAACAGTACTTCATCCTCTGACCCTTCAATTTGATCTATTGCCTTGGTTCACCAAGTATTGATGGGAGAGACCCTCTGACTTCCTGAGAACTGCCCCCTCCCCAAATGCCATTCTAATTATGAATGAAGC